ATTTAATTGACTACAAAGCTACAAAGATTTATAATCAATTAAAAGTATTAATTAAGAAAATAGAATAAAAATTCTTAAAATAGATTCAAATGATGTTTTAATATTGAAACAGAATAAAAATTGTTAAATTAAATTCAAATGATACTTTAAAACGTCTTATGGCTACGTGATTAGGGTTGTTAAAACAAATCTTTGTTTCGGAAATAGCTCCTGTTCGACTCGTTAACATCTTATGGCTACGTGATTAGGGTTGTTAAAAGAAATCTTTGTTTCGGAAATAGCTCCTGTTCGACTCTAAGCGAACGAGCCGAACATGAACACACTTTTTGAGCTTGAAATATAAACGAGCCGAACACGAGCTAAGCCTAGGCTCTCTCGTGTTCGGCTGGTTTCACCACTACTCTTAACTAAATTTGAAGTTAACCGAATTTTCTTCATCTAATATTCTATTACAACTACACTTCCATTTTTAGTTCTAAACATCCATAAAACTGTGCCTTCAGGCAATTGTAACGAGTAATTTCACCTTCAAGTGGGCGAGAAAGGCACCGCTATTGCTCAAATCTTAATTGATCCTTTTTTAATGTTGATGGTACGGGCAATAACGGAGCAAAATTAAAATGCATATGTTCTGTTACAGAAAGTCGATTACATAAAATAAAGCGAGCAGAAAAAAGGTGGCAGAGATGTTGCATTTGGTGGGTCTCGAGGGGTTGCTGTTTTACTACGTCATCTTAAAATTTCACACTTTCTTTTGATCATTATTGCATTGCATTCTCTCCTTCCTTACACTCATCAGTTGTTGGCCTCCTCTCCTGTGCAACATGAATACCGAGAACTTTTGATAAACTAACTCTCTTTCTCTCTCTCTCTCATATCTTACTCTCTCTGAGAGAATGCTTTAGCCAAGTATATGGGATCCGATTGATAGTTGCTGTTACAGGAAAAAAGCAAGGCGGGGAATTATACTAAAGCTTTGCTTGACTCAATCTCTACCAATTTGTAAGAACAAGGATCCTGAGCTGATCGTCAATTTTTCACAAGCAAAGAGTTCACAAGGTATGTAACCATCCCAAGATCTGTAGGTGACCATTTGACCTGTGATGCAAGTCATGGATCTGTGTAAAAAAAAGATAACTTGATGCTCATCAGCTCTGGTGCCAGTTATCACCATTTTTTACCATTAAGTACGGGCATGATTACAAAGCTGGCGATCTCACTCTATCTCTAATCATTTGGCTAACTTTGCCCCAGGTTTTGCATTCATTTAAGAGACACTATCTAGTTTTCATTTTAGTTAATGAATGACAATGAAATAAAGTTGCACACAAGAAAACAAGAATCAATTGCATGCATCATGAGAACCAGCAATAAAAAAATTCATATGAATGTTAAGGATCGAAAGTAGCAAAACTGGTGATATCGAAAGCTGTATGCAATTGAAAGTAAAAAATCTATGGGGTGAATCACTACATATGTCATTATGGGCTTCTAGCCATGTTTCCTATTCACCTTGGCATATCACGCTGCCTGTGGACAGATCTGTGGAAAGGATCCCTAGAATACAACACGTTTAGTGATGATAATTTTAGAGTAAGCTTGCGTATTGGTAAATTAAGACAATAACTTTTAGATACTTTGAAGGTATGTGCAAGGACTAAAATTTATTCTGAACCCTAACTGCCTCTAATCAAAACGCAATAAATTCATCATCTTCATAATTTACTCCAAACTCAAGTAACCAAATTAACGAATCTAAATTAAACAGATGCCAACATCGATGCAAGGAATATAGCTACATGGCAGTATAGTTTAATCGCTTTTACATGGTTTCCTGACCATTATAATTTAACTGTGCTTTATTTTGAATTGTTAGACTCTAATAAGAAAGGATGGCAAAGTTAATCTAGTGTGGAATTGGTTATCAACTTGCAGACTAGCAACATCAAAACAACCAGCCATTGACGTTGAAAAACCAAGTTATCTTTGCCATTATATCGGTCATAAATATAAAGGAAGACGAACATTTAAATTATTTTTAAAATAATGAAATGATCGATGGTTTGGCATACCAACAATTAAAGTATTCTAATAGCTCTCTTTCTTTTTTTTTTTTTTGTTGAAATTATTAGCACTCTTTTTGTCTTATTCAAAAATATGTTCGACCGATGATATAATAATACATGCATGTACTACCTTCATGTATTCACCTCATGTGATGAAAAAACTTGACTACGTAATTTCGATCTCAAATTTTAGATATATATATATATAAGAAATTGGGATTTGATCACCTGCTAGAAGTGTATGGAAAATTTGTTGAAAATTAAATCATTATATATTGTATACATAGTACCTATTTATATAAATAGTCAACTGCTTCATTCTACCAAAGGCAACAGTAATGATATATCGGATAGTAGGATTTTCATAAACAGCATATATACATTAATTGTATGAATTCTTTGTTGAATCCTTGGTAATTTCTATACAATTCATACATACCGATATGATGATTGATTGCTATTCTTAAACAATGAACCTACTTTTTAGATACCAATAGAGTCCATATGGATACTGCGGCACATGTTCCTCCTGGTTTTCGATTCCATCCAACAGACGAAGAGCTCGTCAATTACTACCTTCGTAAGAAAATTGCGTCAAGACGGATTGATCTGGATGTCATAAAGGATGTTGATCTATATAAAATTGAGCCATCGGAACTGCAAGGTATTGTATTAATTTTTATGCAGAAGATGTTAATCTAGAGACCACGTGTAACTAAACATGCAATATATAGTGACAATAATTTTCTGATTTTTTTTTTCTTTCAAAAAGAAATTTGTAAGATCGGAGAAGAAGAACAGCATGATTGGTATTTCTTCAGTCATAAAGATAGAAAATATCCAACAGGAACTCGCACTAACAGAGCAACAACAACTGGATTTTGGAAGGCCACTGGAAGGGATAAGCCAATTTACTTGAAGCAAAAATTAATTGGAATGAGGAAGACACTGGTTTTCTACAAGGGTAGAGCACCAACTGGACAAAAGTCGGATTGGATAATGCACGAGTATCGACTGGAATCAGATGAAAATGGGACGCAACAGGTACTCTTAGATCAAAAAGATGAAGTAATAGAAAACATAAAAAAAAAGCATTTTTCGTTTTATTTATAATTATACATCTAAATCTACATCTATATACATATATATATATATATATATATATAGTTAAAAAGAATGGGTCGGAGCGCGAGGTCCCCAACCCACTCTACTGGCTCAATCCCTCCTAGGTCTGGGGTCCACCCAGTGTACAAATAATTGGAGTACCATTTGGCTTAAGGTGCCACTGCTACACCAGAGGATTCGAGCCTGTGACCTGAGAGGACATACTATCTTCAGAGAGACTACTCTACTAACATGTCACAGAATGCTCGCGCTTGCACACACACACAGATATATATATATATATATATACACACACACACACACACACACAATATATTTATTTTGTTCCTTTTGTGTACATCAGTTTAGTTAATAAAAAAATTAAATTAGGAGATGTCACTTCAAATGGACTATATCATTGCAAGCTACTAATGAAAATATCATCAGACATTTTTTTGAAGGGGGAGGGAAGGTTTATAGCGTATTGTTAGACATCTATTGAATTCTCAATCTATTCTTTGCTTCTAAATAATTTTTTTTAGAAAGTTGAGCACAAAGGGCAATATGTATGATTTAAACCCATAAATTTATGGTAAAAACCCCAACACACTGTCCGAAGGACAAAAAGAAAAATATTCTTAAGTGCATTTACATCTTTTTTACATTCTTATTATTTTGGTTCTCTTTTGGAAAGATTTGGTTAATACATTTTGTGACAATAAATCTTTATCACACCATTTTTATAGATATATTTGCTCAAGTAAACTTCTTGGACATATACATTTACTTACAACCCAATATTTATGATATGATGAAAAAGTAAGAAGTTTCTAACCAAAATTTATTCACTTTGTTAAAAAATGACAAGTGGTTAATATTTAATTACATTGTTTAAAAGAAAATTGTGCTAATTCATTTTTTAATTGCAATCATTTTTCATATTGACATTACATTGAAGTCATTGTTAGATGACAAAAATAAGAGATCAATGCCTATACATATATATATATATATATATATATATATATATAGATATATTTATCTATATATCGATATGACTGCTCATGCAAAAAAAAAAAAAAAAATTATTCTTCCTGATTATTTAATAATTTTTAATAGATATTTACTAAACCTGAGTTTATATCATTGCATGCACAATGATAATTTCTGGACAAATTCTTTGCTTCAACATGTATATAATAAAGTCAAATTCATTAATTTTAATGAGCATTGGGTCAGTGACTTATATGATTTATACTAGCACTTCTAATATTGACATTACAAAAATCACACTTGCAAATGTATCAGGTGTTAGAAATGATTGCAAAAAAGGATAAATTGCTATCACAATACTCAAGGGAGGTTTGTTTGATGTCTATGTATCCCTTAGCAAAAGTTTGACTTATTTGTGGCATTTAAAAAAGAGTAATCAATCATGCCACGTTCACTAAAACAAACAACTAGCTTTTGTGGCTAATCATTTATGCGGAAGAATTAAATAACCTATGGACAACTTGTTTGTTCTTCCAAGCATGCAGTAAACTATAAGGTTTTTGAAAAAAAAAATGATTGAGTATTTCATTGCCTCTTGTGATAAATGTTTTATCACTTACTGTGTTAAAAATTCTATAAATTAATACAAATCCTCAATTAATTTAATGCACTACAAAATCCTTATTTGAGTTATGAGACATAGCAGTACTTTTAATAAACAATATTATTATCTAAGCGTTTAGTTAAGCCTTAATTTTTATCTTTTGCAACACTATTTAAACATTAATGTTACTAATATTGTTGGTTGTTTTCCTTATTTAAATGTGATTAAGAAAAAAAAAAGTTAAATAGCAAGTAAAAGATCTAATTACATGAGAATAATCATGATTTATTTGCAATAATCTTCTTAAAGATATTATTTTCTTGTGAAATGTTTTTCTTGATCATGGTATTGCTTCAACTAGTACTTAAGGACACATTTAAATTAATAATGTGTAACAAAATGTCAAGTTTTTCATTCTCAGTGAAATCTTCATTTTTGCCAATTGTACTATTTGGATTAAATTATGACTTACCTGCAAAGTTTATATTAGTTAATTTTTTTTCTTATCATCTGTTTTTCAAATGAAAAAACTTCCCAAAATTATTAACTTTAACTTATAATTTGTTATAGGAAGAAGGCTGGGTTGTTTGTCGTGCATTCAAGAAGCGAGCTTTATCAGTAAGCAAAGGAAGCGAGTTTGATCATGATGGGTCTCCATGCTGGAATGGTGACAACCAGTTGCTCTTAATGTCATCAAGAGAGTCTCAATGGAATGTTAATGACCACCATTATCCTTACTCCTACAAAGAACAAATGTTAAGTCTTCAACCATATGAACCTTACCTCTACCTTCCCCAATTGCATAGCCCTAAATTTCATGAAAATGCCCCACTACCAAATGATAGCCAAATGAACCAAACTAACCAAATTGATAGAGTTTCATTTAATTATTCCACAACAATAAATAATCCAACTAACGATGAGCATGTAATTGATTGGAGGATATTAGACAAATTTGTTGCATCACAACTTAGTCAAGATGGCACCTCAAGGAATCCAATTGATACAAATCCAAAAGTAAATCTTCCAATTCATGAGAAGGAAGAGGACGAACATTCACGTACTAGTGAGGCAACCGGTATATGATGCATGGTGCGGCCACTTGAACTAAACTGCTACTAATTGTGTGCATGAATCATTTTGTTATCTGCATTGATTTTGTATATAATTTATGATGGTGGGCAACCTTAACTCATAATCTAAGAGCAATTATCACCATATATATGACTTGGTGAGAGCTTGAATGTTTTAAATAATACTCATAGTGCAAGGTGTGGTGATGCATGTATGGAATGATGTTTTGTTATCAATATGCTGTATATTTGCAATGGATATGTAACCTACAACAAATACTCAATGTTGGTGTATACATTTGTTTTGTAGGCAATGCTTCCATAAGTGATGTTGGTAGGAAAATAATATTCATATGACAAGTTTTTTGCCTCGACCATTTCTACGACGATTAATAAGTTTAATCCTAACGGACTTGAAGAGAAGATCCCCAGCACTCATTTTTGATGAATAATAGGAATAATTATCAACAAGAACTTGTTTTCTTACATGTGAACTTGCTTTTAATGTTCAAAATGGCGTTATTAACAAATATTATCATCGGCAGAAAATAATTATAGAAATGCTGATAAAAATCATTCAATTTCCTTCTCGTACCGTTTAAATCCATCTCCTTTGAGAATGTATCTATCAACATCGACTGCAAAAAGGCAAATAATAGATTTAAAGTCAATAAATAGTACCTTTTTCTACTTATTTGACGCATAAATAGCTACATAATTGTCTTTACAGTAAGTAGTTGTATAACATCCTTTGCAAGTTCAGTTTTATAATATGAGAATTAGCCTTAAAGCTCAGCATTGTGTACGACAAGAAAAAACTCGAAGAAAATATATGTCCATAAGAAAAAATAATTAATGAGCATGATTGCAAATCTTTTTTTTTATTTCACTTATCCCAAGTGATTTATGAGATGTAGCTCAATATATTTTATTAACTATTGTCTTTTTAATTTATTGCCCTTTCTATTTCCTTGGTTTTTTTTTCAATCATATATTCCGGTTGTGCCTTTCAAATTTTCTTTTCAACCCAAAAGTATGTGCTTTCACCATGTTACCTTTACTGTGTTCATCAGTCACATTTCTTCAATTTTACGCATGATACTTTAGTCAATTCATCAGTCACATTTCTTCAAAAATATTTGTCCTTAGGTTCTTACATTCTTTCCCAACACAGAGTTCATGAGTGCTGTCCGCAGTCTTCACTTCATCGAAAATATAAAACATCCAATAAATCAATTTTTATTTTAATGCTTTGTCACCTTCAAAATCTTTTATTAAAATTTTGTAATTTCCTTCAGGCAAAACCTTTTTAAAAGATATGATTGATTTTGATGAGACGAACTCAATCATACCAAAATTGATCCACTTTGAGTTGAATCAAGCTCAGATCAGAACATTCAACCACTTTTAAAAGCTTTCTGGACATATTTGGAAGGCCTAAAGAACTTTGAATCGGACATGTTTATAGTCAAATCGAGCATTTCAAATCAAATGAGCCTAAGACCGCTCAATTACGACATCGTCAAGGTACTCATATGTTAATTACCAATTGTGGGAATCTCTACGAGGCGTCTGATCAGAGTGAATCAAATTCCTCAATTAATTGCAACTGAAACTCTATAAATAGAGTCATACCCCTCTTAAAAAGGGGGAAGCATGAAGCATGAATAAGAATAAAGCTTAGAGAAGGAGATGAAGTCCAGCATCACTTAACTGTTTACCGCCTCAAACCCTCAGACGCGGACCACCCCTCATCGGTTGGCATTGGTCACTATCAGTCGCTTCTCTCTTCATACAATAAGTTCATAAATGGAGTGACTTCATAGCTCGGAAGGGTGTGTAACCCTTTTCCGCTCGTGGGACAAGGGACTACACTTGTAGTCTCTAGTTTATAATGGAACTCTTCAGCTTGGATAAGCCCCATGGTTTTTTCCCTTTATGGTTTTACACTTGAAAAATCCTGGTGTATCTACTGGATGTTTTCTTTTATTTGAGTTTGCTGCATTCTTGTGCAACTCTAAGATGCTAATATATTACTCTATCACGTGAATTTTTGAGCACTCAATTGTTTTGCTCCGTTTATGGGAAGCGAGTCCCATTCGACGCTATCTTCAACTCTTGGACACCGAGCCCTACTTCATTTCTGATGATATACATCATCCAATTTGCTTTTGAACCACCATTGCATTTTGAAGATCATCTTTGAAGCATTATTCAATGTGGGGAGCAACCTTCACTACAATCTTAAAAGGTTGTTCACGCCAACAACCCGTGTACAATTGTAGTGGAGTAGTCTTCTCGCATCCTATTCAGACATAAAGTCTTTCGAGACTTCTTCCAACTTGGTGGGCAACCATTATTGAAGTATCAAAAAGGTCATTTACATTAACATCTCAGGCATGACTGTGGAAAGGTAACCATCCCAAATTTCATTTAAACTACAAGTCTTTAGGAACCACTCCTAAATTGAGGGGGAAATCTTCATCGTAATTAATGCTTCCTCAGTGCCCCTTGAACATACCAGAGCTCTTCTTCAATCAGAACAGGAAGTTGATCTCTTTAAGGCTCGATACAATGCTTACTTTTACAAGATCATGTGATACCAGGCTTGTTTTTTAAAGCTCGTGTGGAAAACACCCCCGCTAGGGTCAAAAGATTCAAAAGTAGCAACTAATAAGTTATCAAATATTATTCTTATATATGTATGCTAACTCCAACAGTCACACCCAATTTCTTAGGAACGCAGTGAACTGGACTCATCCAAGCACTGCTTGAAATAGAATATATTATTCTCGTCTTATATATGTATGCTAACTCCAACAGTCACACCCCCTTTCTTAGGAACGCAGTAAACTGGACTCATCCAAGCACTGTTTGAAATAGAATATATTATTCTCTCATCTAACTGTTTTAAGATCTCTTTCTTAGCAACTTCTTTCATCATAGAGTTTAATCTCCTTTGAGGATCAGCTTATGGTTCATGATCTGTTTTAAGATCTCTTTCTTAGCAACTTCTTTCATTATAGAGCTTAATCTCCTTTGAGGATCAGCTTATGGTTCATGAAGTTCTTCCTATAAAATTATGTGCATACAAATCAAAGGATTGATTCTTTTAATATCAGCTAACGTCCGTCTAAAAGCTTTCTTATATCTTCTTAAAGTGTCCAACAACTTTTTTTTCATATGCTTCAGTTAATTCTGAGGATACAACAACAGGTAATGTAGATAAATCTCCTAAAAAGACATATTTTAAATGTGTAGGAAGTGTTTCATATCTAGTTCAGGAGGTTTTACTATCGAAGTAATCAAATTTTTATTATCATCTGCATGATCTAACAATTCAAAATTGTTCCTGAAAATAATCAAATTCTTCATTACTCACTTCCATAGATTCATCGTGAACTATATCCTCATTCTCATACTACAAATATTTTTCTTCAATGTTCTTTTCAAATGTATCTGTGAAATATTCATTGCTTAAATAGTCATTAATTTATATTCTGAAGCATTCTTCTTCTCTTCCTTTCGCTAGATATCTCATTAACTTTATAATATTAAATGTTACTTCTTGATCACCAACTCTAATCGTCAATTATCCTTTCTACGCATCTATCAAAGCTCTTCCAGCTGCAAGAAATGGTCTTCATAAAATGATAGGAATTTCTTTATCTCCCTCCATATCTAACAAATTAAAATCCATAAGAAAGATAAATTTATCAACCTTTACCAAAACATCTTTTATAACTCCTTTAGGATATGTAATCAAACGATCAACTAACTGAAGAGTTACAGTAGTAGGTGAAATTTCTCTTAAACCCAACCTTCTGAAAATCGATAGAGGCATCAAATTAATGCTAGCTCCCTAATTACATTAAGTTTTTTTAAAAATTCTGTTGCCAATAGCACAATGAATAGTAAAACTACCAAGATCTTTAAGTTTTTCATGAAGCCTTTTCTGAGTTATTATGCTACACTCTTTACTAGGTGCAACTGTCTCATTATCTGCAAACTTCCTTTTTTTTATAAGTATATCCTTCATAAATTTCACATAGCATGGCATATGCTCCAAGGCTTCAACAAATGGAATATTTATTTTCAATTTCCTCAATATTTCAAAATATTTTGTAAATTGATTATCTTTGTTTAACTACTTCAATCTTTGAGGAAATTGAGGTGGTGGTCTTTATATAGTAATTTTCATTGGTTCAATAGGATATTCTAACTCAAAATAAAAATCTTCACTAGATTTTTCATTTTCCACCCCTTTTCTTTCAACTTCAACTTCAATTTCTTTTTGAACTTTTGTTTCCAATTTTTTTCCACTTCTCAGTTGAATAGCCTTAATTTGCTCTTTATTCTTATATTTAGGATTAACTTCAATATTACTAGGCAAAGTTCCTGGAGGTCTATTGCTAAATGCAGTAGCAATACATTCTAATTGATTTTCCATGTTTCTAATGGCAGCTCCTTGACTTTGTAATGTTCTCCAATTTGCAATATTAATTCTTCCATTAACAATTTCTTCTTCTTACTACACGAATTACTATTCAAACCTGAAGGGCAATAAGGTTTACAGTTAGAATTCTCCTGATTGTTGGAGTTTCCCAAAGGGTTCGCAGCCTTGTTACCCCGTTGCAGATTTACAACATGAGAGTTATTGTTAATCCAAATAAAATTTGGGTGATTTTTCCAACCAAGATTGTAATAATTGGAATAAGGATTATTAGAT